ATTGTCTTCTCGCCTGCCTGGTTTCTGTTGAGAAATCTGAGCTTAGTCTTATTGGTTGCCCCTTGTAGGTAACTTTTCATTTATCCCATGCTGCTCTCATGATTCTTTCTTTGTCTTTGGTTTTGGTAAGTTTGATGATGGTATGTCTGGATGATTTTCTGTTGAGGTCTATCCTGTTTGGAGTTCGTTGGACTTCCTCAATGGATATATTCTCATCTTTCATCACACCATTCTCTTCCGACAAATCTTCAACAATTTTCTCTGTGGTTTTCTTTGTCTCTTCCTGTTCTGGAATTACAATCACATATAGGTTATTCCTTTTGATGGTATCCCATATGAACCTTAGGCTTTTTTCATTTTGTTTTGATCTTTCATCTGATTTATCCCTTTTCAAAGAAGTGTTCAGGTATTTGCCTTAAATCTCACTAATTTCGTCTTCCACTGATTCAATTCTGCTCTTTTGCCCATTAAAGTCTTATCTATTTCTGACAATTTAGTATTAATCTTCGGATTTCTGTGTGTCGGTTTTGTATCATTTCTAATTTTCCATTTATTTTGTCATTTTGTTCTTGTATTGTCTTTTGAAATTGTTCTAGGGTTTTCTCTGTGTTTTCCTTGTTCTGTCTCTCAATTTATTGAAGGTACCTAAATATAATTATTTTGAATTCCTTATCAGGGAGTTCCAATGCTGCATCTTCCTCAGGGATGTGTTTTGTGTCTGTATCCTGGTCCCTTGTTTCTTCTGCTTTATCTTGCTTCTTTTTGTGGACTGTGATGGCCTGTTGTTTCCCAGGCATTGTGACAGTTTTGTGTTTATATTTAACTGGTGCTTGTATGTTGGAGTGACTTGCCCACGATTTTCGTTTTCTTTGTATGTTATCTACGCAAGCAGGGTACTGTGTTCCTTTATTCGCTAGTGGACAGCACTTATACACTCACCACCCATCTCCTTTCCTGTTGTCAGCCTCGCGTATGTCCCTGACAACCTTGGCAAACAGCCTATGTTTAGATCCCTGGAATCCAAATGAGAATGCTATCACTTTCAAATCCAAAATGGTTGCCACTTGTAAAGATTCAAAATGGCTGTGCCCTCGGTTATTTTAAATATCCAAAGTGGCTGCCTCTTGTAAAGTTCAAAATGGCTGCGCCCTCGTTCATTTTAAATTTCCAAAATGGCCACCACTTGTAAACATCAAAATGCCTGCGCCCTCCAGACAGCAGAAAGTCAACAGCTTAGGTCATCTCCCTTCTTGCTGTTTCCCTTCCTAGGCATAGGCCACCAGTGCAGTTGTCCCTGTGGCCCATGGTGAGCAGGGTTGATCTCTAGGTCAATTCTCAGATCCCAACGCCACTTGGAAATATTCAAGCCATTGGTCTTGTCACAACAGATGATAGTCTGCAGCTCTGACCATCTCTGTACTCACTGTTTTTGTTCAGGTTTTTCCATTAGTTGGTGCCTAATCCACTTCTGCATAGTTCCTTTCAAAGCTCAGGGCTCCAAGATTATTTTCTGTATCTCTGTCAATTGGTTTTTCTTTTCTTTGTTGAGGGTCTGTGTCTCCAGTCTGCCTATTCCTCCATCTTACCGAAGTCATCTGAAACCAGTTTCAATAATTATCCACACCTTGCCAACCTTGTTTCATCTAAACCCATTCCTCCTGCTCCCACTCTCCAAAGCTACTACTCCCAAATTGTTATTATCTTTAAACTTTGTATTGTGATTTTGGTGAAAGTTTACAGAGCAAATGTTTTCCATTGAACAGTTCATACACATTTTGTTTCATGACATTGACTGCAATCCCACAGTGTAACAGCTCTCTTCCCACTTCCTTCCTGTGTTAACTTTTCCCTGTGTCCTCCATTCCTATGCATTCCTACCATCTAAGCTTTTTCCCTGCCCAAGTGCTGTCCTTCTGATCTCCCATGGCTGACTATTGGTAACTCTTCACCTCCTAAGCCTGTCTATTGTTTGGCAGAAGGTAAGCCACAGGAAGGAGTTCAATTTTAGGCTTGAAGGATGACTGAGGGCTATAGTCTTGGGAGTTTCACCAGTCTCTGTTATACCAGTAAGCTTGGACCCTTTTTTTTTTTAGGATTTTTAGTTTTGTTCAACATTTTTCTCCAATTTTGATCCTTTCTGAGTGCCTGACAGTAGCACCTGGTATCACTGAGTTCTTATGGTGTCAGCATCATGCAGGCTGAGGTTCCCATGGTTCACTAGTCCCTTGGACTTAATTGTTTCCATGCATCTTTGAATTTCTTCACTCTTCTTTGCTCTGGACAAGGACAGACCAATAGTATCTTAGATTGTTGCTCACAAGCTTTTAAGACCCCAGGTGCAACTAACCAAAGTAGGATATAGAAAAATGTTTGTGTGTAGTATGCTATGCTAGCTGAGCTTGATGTCCTCTGTGACCATGGTCCCAAGCCCACAGGTCCAACAACTTGCTCCCTCGGGATGGTTGGCTGTGGCTAAGAAATTATCATAACTTTGTCCCATTAACAAACCAAATTCACTGCTATTGAGTTGGATCTGACTCATAGCGACCCCTCCCTGGGTTTCCGAGGTGGTGTCACTATGGAAGTAGATTGCCCAACCTTCCTTCCAAGGAGTGGTTGGTGGGTTTGAACTGCCAGCCTCTGGTTAGCAGTCAAATGCCTTAGGCACTATGCCACCAGAGTTCCCCATTAGCTCTATTATATATATAGACATTCTTATAGCACACAGAAATTGTCTGCCAAACCTATGGTCATGAGTATATTCCTTTTCACCTACCTGTACCTGGTCATTTTGCCTGTCTACCTATGTATCTACTTATAGATTAATGTTTGTTATTACTGATACTGCAGTACTGTGCATGTAAAAGTATTTACCTTCATTGTGTGTACCTCTTGTGCACCTGCGTCTTCCTTTTCTTTACTGTTACCATGCTGGTCACTCACTTTGGTATACTGCCTTCCTTTACCCCAATCAAACATCAAGCTGGAGACTTTTCCCAATTCATGCAGCTGCAGGGGCTGATGAGCTCAAGGTTGGCAGGCAGTATACTGGCTGTTGACTCCAACACATGATGAATCCAGTATCTCCAGGCCGAATGCTGGATTGTTTACTCACAGTCAGTTGTGGGCTCCACAACAGGATCCCGATCCACAGAAGAGTGTCTCTTTTCCCAAGATGTCCATAAATATATTGGAAGCAGGCTATACCCTTAGGGAAACCCCCTTAAAAGATTGGCTGCTCAAAACATAAACATTTGATCGCATCATGGCAAAAACCCACATTGTAACTACTTAAACCGCACAAGAATTGTGGTCCAGCCAAGTTGACACACAGCTCCAACTATCACAGTAAGGCACTCAGA